GATATTTTACCAGATTCACACTCACTGACACATTCGTTGAATCTACCCGGCCCGAAGAGACCGCACACACCAGTACTGCACCGCGAGTGATGACGCGCCCATCGCGGCGCGGCCTTGACAACTGTCGACTGTCGACGCGGCGCCGGCCGGCAGCCGTGGTAATCGTCGTTCGCGACGCGGGACCGTGCGCCGCTAGATGGCACATGAGAGCAGCGTCGGGAGTGGAGCAGCGGCCCCAGTAGGGCAGTGGGCTAACCGTAATTGGGGCGCGTGCGGTAGGTGAAGGTCAGCGTATAGGAACATGGTTAGTTGTGGAAAGTTGCCACGGGATACGAACGTAAACAGTTAATGCATAATTTTAAATATGACATGCTATATGATATCTAGGACTGCAGTTCGTTTGATGTGCATTGTTTACTGTTGATGGGATGATTTAAATTAGATTTTCTATGAAAGGCTAGGGATCCCTATGACAATATTCTGGCACTCTACAAAGATAATTTGTATAGGTAACTAGTAGCCCATCAGAAGCTATCGAACGAGTTTCAAGGAGTCATTTCCGTTTGAGCATTCAGTAATTTAATATGATACGGTGGATCACAACCAGACGATTGATCGGTGCGTACTAATTGGTTCTAGATCATCTGATTAAATCAAGAGCAGTTCAAGGCCTGCTAGGATTGTATACGAGAACTGATGATTAGGTTCACGCGTGCAGCAGCAATTAGGACTTGAGATTACGATTAGGTTTGGATCAATAATGCGTTTCTGTTATTCGCGTTCTTGCGAGTTAGCGCCAATAATTACTCCACCAATATTGGCACAGGGCATTGTGAGGCACAGACGGCTTGTTTGCCCGTCTCCTATGGCGTAACGTTTACCAGCATGACCGTATGAGACACAGATGCACTTCTCTAAACACACGTCCAGACCGGAATAATAAGAGGGACACACCGTCACGTACGCAGGGCATATGCACGTTTTCCGCCAGTGGTACCGGCTACTGTTAGATTTCCCGCTTAGGTAATACTGGGTAACGAGGCAGTGAGAGGTTTCTACGGCAGGGGGAAGGGGAAGATTGGCACAGTGTGCAGTGGAGAGTAAGTTATGCCAAAGGCAAGAAGCCGAGGGTCAGGGGTGAGTCACCCAAAAGTGCGGATAAGGCGAGCCGTAGTGTCCCGAATAAGTCCTCATACTTATTTTGTAAAGGTACCTTAATCGGTACTGGACAGCCTCAGGGGAGGTAACGATGTACTCCAGGACACGTAAGGCCTTGAAAGTAAATCCCAGGGTTTAAGGAGAGTTCCTGAGGAGAGTTCCAGGATATGAACGGTGGTCCCTGGGTCGTGAACGGAGGTGTTACACGCGGACCGGAAGAGGGCATAGGTAATCTCTCCCGGATAGAGAGATAAGTCGGATGTAAATCGCGTATATGTGTACCATAAGTCTATCGGACGTGTAGTGAATCCCATAAATTAGTAGGGTGGATATTTGTGCAATTATGCTGGACGGCCCTGCGATAAGTATCTTTGTCGCCGGTTAGCGGAGCATGCAAATGGATTTCGGAAAGAGACATTTATCTCGCCGGGGAGACCATGGTTTGTAAGACGCCTAACACTATCGGAGGGGATTTCGGGGGCTACCAATTAAATTTGGGTGAATACATGAAATGCGAACGTAATGCGAGAAAGGGTGTGAGAATGATGACGCATGAATCTTAGAGTAAGGCCGATAGGAATTTGGTAGAATTCGGTTACGGCAGTCGATCAAATGAATCTCGAGGGCAACTGAAAACTAGCAACGCTAATACGAATTAAGTGGGCAATTTTCTTAATGGGGAGGCCAGTGATATAGGAATGGGTGACTGGACGAATGATCACATTCAATTTATCAATGTAATTACCACCCATATGTTTGGCAGTGGTCATCAGGACTTCGAATGCCCTGTCCTTCACCTGCCCAACTGTGCCGCAAACCCAGCTGATCGGATCCCTCTATCCCTAATCCGAGCAGTGAAGAAGCATCTCGTACATCATGGTCTATACAATGAACAGAATCATCAAGCCTCTAAATTAAAAGCATCTTCCATCAGATGTATTTGTATGCAGGGTGGACCTGTATCTACATCTCTATCAGGTGGACGTCATCTCAAGATCTCTATCTGGATGCCCACATCTCTATCAGGATATCTACATCTAAATCTCCATCTCAGGATCTAATCTCCATCTCAGGATCTCTAGATCTCTCTCGGGATCTTTTCCAAGACCCTCAAGCTCCCCTGTTCTACCAGTTCAACTATCGAATCATGACAGCCGCAAATAGCTCTGTTCTTCTACTACAACCAGCCGAACAACAGCGGACAGCGGTGTTTGATTACCCGCAACGATGCAGCCGTATTTCTCTTTCTAAATCCCCTTGCTACAGTATTCCCAGTGGGAAATAGGCTGTTTTGCATGATGCAACTATGATTCCTACAAGTAGTTTGTATTAATGGACTTTTGGGAAACGGGTCCAACTGGTTCCGTTTCCAACTAAGACTGGTTCCGACTGGTTCCAGAAATGTCCAGCCGCGGGTCTGGTTCGAGTCTAGTTCCCAAAATTTTCATCTTTTACCACCTCTAGTGTACACCATGTCGAAAAGGTACCGACCGATAAGTGCATTTGGAAGCATTAATTCCCTCGCATGTGTGGGTGGCTAGGATGAGCCCCCATGGTTTTTCGCAAATAACTCGCGCAAAAAGCGGCCGATCGCGACGAAAATTTAAGCAACCTCGATTTGATTAGTTTTACACCTACTCTTAAAATTTCATGACCCTGACCCAAAAGACCTTTGACTTGTGACCTGATTCTCGAGACCATGTTCGGCCGGAATCGCGATTTGGCCTATGTCAGCTCACATTATCCGCGCTTTTCCAGTCTTTTTGTGATTGTAGACGTTCAAACATGTGAAATGATGTTCCTCCCATGCATCACGGTGGGTGTGAAGGTCACCTGAAGGTCAGGTCAGGTCACTGACCTTTGATGACCTCGGTTCACTTTTTCGAGTATTACATGTTTCTAGGGTAATTTTTTCGGGCTGATTTCGAATTTAGCATCCATTTGAACGTTAACGAAGTAGTTTAGTGCCTTCGTAACATGCTACGACGCCGGCAGTGGTAGTTGACACCTACTATTGATAGCCGGTAAGACGCCTAATGGTTGACCTGACCTGACCCGATCTGGCCTAAATGCATGAAGAAATCATCTGTGATCAAAACTAACAAGAAATTCGTGATCAGCACCCCGAAAAAAAACGATACAGCTTCACTTTACGCAGTTCTAGCAGGTCCCGATTTTCCCGACTTTTGGGTCATTGACCTGACCTGGAAGGTCAACCAATGACATAGGACCTTAAAATTGGGTATCATCGGCTTTCTCTCGTCGCGGGCAACACCCTCGTTTTTTCCGCGAACCTCTAGCTCGATCAGCCCCCCCCCCCCCCCTCCCCCTACACATTAGAAGCTGGAAAACGCCACACACATGCGAGGATTAAAATTGTCAATATTGATAACCGCAAAAAGTAAAAGCGGCCGACTTAGCCATTTTCGAAGATATCGGGCTAAAAATTTTGACAGTGGGTCATCGGCTCGGTATGTGTTCAATCACATGCTCCATTTCCTTTTTTTTTCTTCAGCACAAATGTAAGTTTTGAAGACCATCACAAAAGCAAATGCTTCGAAAGATGGATAGTGGGCAACATATCCTGAATTTGCCGTGCTGCATGGAAAGTAGTGTTGATGAGAAAAGGGTTTTTTGGTTCAGATTATTGTGGGTGCAGAATACATTGTCTGCACCCACTGGAGAAATATTGTGGGTGCAGCTGCACCCTTGCACCCATGGTTCCTACGCTTATGCGTATAGGTGATCTCTATTGTCTCATCTACTTAAACGAAGAAATAACAGTGATTATAAATAAAGAAATAGTGATATAAATAAATAAATAAATAAATTTTTAGCCCAAGGCAGCAAATACAAAGATGATGCAGCTTGGTGCTGCCCGAAAGTCAAAATGTGCAACCTGTCTTTGTATTTTTCTTGGGTAACCAAAGGTATTCCCGCATGTTGCTCTACCTTTTTAGAAACGTTTGTTTTCTACCGAAGTCCTAGAAAGTGTCGTCCATTTTTGAACTTGAGTCCCAATTGGACGCATTATAGTTCCAATTTATTCGGTACTTCTCGCGCAGACTTCGACTTTGTTCAGCGAATATGTCGGCCGTGGTCGTGTCTCCTATCACATCTCCTATCACCTATCACATCTTTCCTTCGACCTAACTTGAACCTCTCCGACCTAAGGAGGGCAGGACGTTGAACGAGCCTCGAAGTGTTTTACCGCATGTTTTACAATTAGACCAATACGACGGCTTAGGGAGCCGTCATGGCAGCGTCGAAAAGAGATGATGCTTTTCGACTCCAAGCGGGCAGCTGCGCTGCTCTAGGGGGAACCCGTAAAGTCTACGGGAAGCCATCACATTCGTGTGAAGCCCAACGCATACACACAGCTGCGGCCATTCCACAGATTAGCTGGTCGCCCCTTTTCTGCGACGGATCCCCGGTCAAGTTACACGAGAATGCACCACTAACATGAGGCCTCAAAGCACTGCTCAAACCGGATCTCCATGAATAATTGCAATTCATATACTGATAGAAGAACAGGTGGCATGGCAATACTGCAGCATTGCGATGTTAACCATGCCTTACAGAAGAGTGGGCTCTGTTGGGAGCGGTGTTTGGGCCCCGAACTGCCTGGCGAGTTTCACTCATTTCATTTTATGTGCCTGGCATAGTAAATGAATTCGATAAATGAGAACTACTTACCTTCGTCATGTTTTGTAAGATTCAGGATAAAATAAGCTAGTTCAACGTTTATTTTATCGGCCGCCATCTCCATAAACAGCCGCCATGAAATGCTTACTGAAAGATGTTAATTACAGTTGATTTTCACCCGAGTCAGTGCTCCTCACCTGTATGGGTTTTGCAGTTCCTCGGTGACGAAGTTGAGAAAGTTCCAGCCAGCGTAGGCGAACAGGCCGGAGTAGAGAGCCAAAGCCGTGCCCCCGACCGTCACCTCGCCCTCAAAAGCCGTGGCCGGCTGCAGGTGTTCGCTGTGACCTAACGAACGACACAACACAACACAAGTCGTTAAAATGCCTGGTTAGTCATTTGCGATCAAGCAATCAATATTTATGGGTGAGGTCAACATTCTGTCAAAAAAAAAAGCCCAAGTCAATCAAGGAAGCGGTCCTGAGGGGCCTGATTACGACTCGCCTGCCACCACGTTTGACGTTTACAGCGAGCACTGCTCCGGATCAGAGTGGATCAGCGGTGTCCATGGAAGCACATTTGTTCCCGGTATTGTCTGACCGGAGTTTGTGTGTACTATATGTTTGTATGGTCGCACGGGGCTGTGTTGTGTCAGCCGCATGTGACTACCAATGGCCTGGTGCCTGCAGGGTAGTCGGTAACTCAAATCTAAAGTCTTTCAGAGTTAAATGAGCCTGATGAATGCCTTAAAACAGCTGACAATGATAATCATTAAAAGCAGGCACCAATGATGCAGATGTTTCTGAAAGATCCCAGCACCAGGACGCATCGGCAAATATTTTGATAGGGTTTGCTACTGCAGCTAGTCCAACGACTGTCTGAGGGGCACGGCCGGCTGGCTATCCCTCCACTATGGAACAGCTAGGTATAACTCTGGGAAGTATAAGCATAAACGTACCCCACTGAGTTCATATGCGCTGTCTCAGTTCAGCGCTGTGACTGGATCAGGTCACCTTGATCGTTCAGTAATCATCTCTGATCAGCCCAGGCTACTGTCAAACAGCTCCTCAAATCAAATCTCCCTCAGGGAATATGATGATTGATTTTGCTGAATTGATTGACTTAAACGAAGCGGCATGAGCAAGGGTGAAGGCCAGCTCAGCACTCTCAGCAGTCAAAAGGGCAGTTTAGGCGATCGAAAGACTATGCTAGTGAAAGTTTTACGAGGGGTAAATTGTTAACCTTATTAGTGGCAGGGGGTTGTGTAACGCAGATGCGCTACATTTTTTTTTTATCTTTCATGCGGAATTGCAAGCTGTGTCACAAGCTGAAACATAGCCATCTGCGAGCGCCACACAGACACGGTCAGCCGGCTAAATCGGCTGTGATACCCGATCTCCGTCCCAGCCGGCGCCCACAGAAACGGCGCAGCCGGCTTTGACAAACAGGGGTCCCCTATAGATGACCACCCCGCTTCATGAGAACCCGGATTTGAAGTCGACAAATAGCATACCATTCGGCCCGGCTCGAACCATTTATCAGTTTAACCTTTGGAAAACAAGACAATGTCCCACGCTCGGCACCCCGCCAGAAGAGAAGAACAAGGAGAGGGGAGTGCAGACCGGCCCTGATTTGAACCAAAACAAGAAAGGGGAGCGGGGACCGACCCGGTTTGAACGAAAACAGGATGAAATGGAACTCGGTCGCCAACGACAAAATATAGGACATCTGGCCGGAGCTGGCTTCAAAACAAGGGGAGCGGAGGGCCAGCCCCGCCACCTGGCGCCCCAGACGCCGTGATCGCCGGCGGCGAATTCCACCCGACCGCTGCGTGAAAGGGTGTGACTGCCATGGCCGGGGGTGCCGAACTTCAGCAAATCACGAACGTTTGAAGGCGGAGCCAAACGCACTTTCTGAGAATGGAGGACGAAGATTGGACAAGGAGATGCTGCCCGGCCCTCTGAAGTATGACGTCATCAAAAGTATAAGTTGATGAAACGGAACTAGAACGCTCTCTCTGGCACTCCCTCGGACGACGCATTGGACGCCGCTCTTCGCTCTCGGCTGACATCTGACATCGTGGACAGCCCACAAGACACCAGCGGCTGGCATCACGGCGCCGGCGGCGGCTCCGGCCGCCTGGCCGGGCGCTGGACGGACACGGCCATCATGTCAGCGACTCCATCTCAAGTAAGGTCATGGTGATCACGGGCACGCACCTAGTCCCTAAATCCTTCAAATAATCACCCCCCCCCCCCCTCCTTTGTTACTGCTATGTGAGCCACATTATGTTTCCTTTTTTGGTGTCGTTGCGCAATAATTTAGGTCATTCAGTTTAGGTAGTTCAGTTTATTTGAGAACCTTCAGTCTAGGTAGCTTAATTTAACAATCCGATTTCGGACAACTATTTAACTATGGGCGTGGTGCGAGACGCGTGCCGACGTGGAGTGGACCCTCGTCCGGCGCCCCGGGTTGATTAAGGCGCCATTCAGTTTAGGTAGTTCAATTTATTTTGAGAACCTTCAGTCTAGGTAGCTTAATTTAACAATCCGATTTCGGTCAATTATTTAACTATGGGCGTGGTGCGAGACGCGTGCCGACGTGGAATGGACCCTCGTCCGGCGCCCCGTGGTGATTAAGGCGGATGGAGGGGATTATGCTCCGTGGGGAGTCGGGAAAGGGACGGGCGACTGTGCACCGCACCGCGCGGCATGTGGGGCTCAGTTGATGGACGGTCTGGTCTCTGGTCCCAGAACGTTTTCTTTAAAATTTGGCAGGTACAGGACTTGAAAGTATTGTGTCAGCAAGAATGTAAATAAATGTGACTTGTAAATATTGTAATATGAGTGTAAGGAGTGGTGAAAGGAAAGGACCGGAGAGTAAAATGTCACAGACCATATGCCATCTACACAGCCGGAGAGGAAGTCGTTGCGGGAGAGGAAGTGGTTTCGAGGTATCCAATCCGCCATAGTATTTGGTAACAGAACAGTTCTTCTTCTCGTCGGCCTGGTTCTCAAGGGACACCCAAATCCGGTAGGGCCCAGGTATTTTATCGAACCCGTGGGGCCCGATCCCGCTCAAGGTGGGTGGAGCCGGCCGGCGCGGCCGTCAGTGATTGGCTCAGTGGTTTGGTAGTACAGCGTACGGGACGACCAGAACTATACACGTTTCGGAGACCACGGGAGTGGCCAGGCTGGCCTCAAACATCTGAACCGATTCCACCCCTTGCGGTCGTCTGGTCAGTGCTGGCCGGTTACCCTCCTGCCTAACAAGCGTGGCGCCCGCACAGGCGCTGCTTATCCTCCTGTCCTAAGACCAACGCAGCGCCCGCACAGGAGCTGTTTATCCTCCTGCCTAACAAACGTGGCGCCCGCACAGGCGCTGCTTATCCTCCTGTCCTAAGACCAACGCAGCGCCCGCACAGGAGCTGTTTATCCTCCTGCCTAACAAACGTGGCGCCCGCACAGGCGCTGCTTATTCTCCTGCCTAACAGCGCCCGCACAGGAGCTGTTCATTCTCCTGTCTAACAGCGCCCGCACAGGAGCTGTTCATTCTCCTGCCTAACAGCGCCCGCACAGGAGCTGTTCATTCTCCTGCCTAACAGCGCCCGCACAGGAGCTGTTCATTCTCCTGCCTAACAGCGCCCGCACAGGAGCTGTTCATCCTCCTGCCTAACAGCGCCCGCACAGGAGCTGTTCATTCTCCTGCCTAACAGCGCCCGCACAGGAGCTGTTCATCCTCCTGCCTAACAGCGCCCGCACAGGAGCTGTTCATTCTCCTGCCTAACAGCACCCGCACAGGAGCTGTTCATTCTCCTGCCTAACAGCGCCCGCACAGGAGCTGTTCATTCTCCTGCCTAACAGCGCCCGCACAGGAGCTGTTCATTCTCCTGCCTAACAGCGCCCGCACAGGAGCTGTTCATCCTCCTGCCTAACAGTGCCCGCACAGGAGCTGCTTATCCTCGTCAGGTCAGCACTGGCCGGGTCATACGTTCCCATTTTCCAACCCAGGACGGCCTCAATTAAGGAGTTTCCGCTCAGCCTGGTCCGCACTGGTCGGTGGCTTAACTTTGAACAAAAGGGGTGACGGTGGAGGACGAGAACGAGAAAGACGAGTTGTTAGTTCGAGCTAGAGTCTCAGTAAATCATCCCCACTAAAGTCAACCCGCACCTAAGATGAATAAGGGACTCAGAGGGGACAGATAATGCACGTCACGCCCCTGTGCGTGGAAAGTCCACCGACGCGGCTACGGGTTAGGAGGGAGATGAGAAGCGAGTGAAATGAAAGAAGACTGTACACGGAGAGGAATCGGATTTCCCAAATGAAGCTCAGCTCGGATAGACCCCACTAAATAGTAGGCCTCGCTTGGGTAAGCCCTGGATGCGTGCAATAAGTCGCGAAGTGAAGAGAAAGGGTGAGAGCGAGTTGAGGATCGATTATTGAGGATGAGTGCGTAGCCGACGAAGGCTAATCCGTTCGGTTGCCGGCGCGGGCCCCATAAAGCCGTGGCTATACGGAGACGATGCAGGCAGCCCGGAGGGACCTAGTGACCCCGCCCGGTTTTAAAAGATAGGTTAGGTCCGCTATCGGTCCATTGAGTGATCAGCGCAGGATGACATTCGATAAGTGACGTAGGTAGTTTCGGAGATGGTTAGGACCCCAGGCGTCCCAGCGAGGAGACGTATGCCGCCGGTTAAGTAATGTCCCGCGAAGAAACGTGTGATGCTGCAGGACGGGGGTGAACATTAAATACCAAAGCATGCGAGTCGGGTGATCGCGGTAAGTCGGTACTGGCCACCCCGCTGTCAGTCGATTTACTCCGGCCGTGCAGCGGTCATTTCGGTTAGGTCTGTGACGACAGCTTAACTACCAGCAACGGATAGATAGGGCTTCGGGCACCTATAACGCTGGTAGTCGTGGATTGTGTGAAGCCAACGGAGGCTTACCCGTTCGGTCGCCGGTGCTGTTTCAAAAGCCGTGGCTATACGGAGACGATGCAGGCAGCCCGGACGGACCTAGTTACCCAGCCCGGTTTCAAAGTTTAGATAAGCCCACCGCGGGCCGTGGTACGCTTAGTTTTCGTTTTCTTATAGGCAATTTGGCACAACTGGTAGTCATGGATTCGTGTGAAGCCGACGAACGACTAATCCCTTTCGGTCGCCGGGGGCTGGCCCGAAAACCGCGGCTATACGGAGACGACGCAGGCAGCCCGGACGGACCTTAGTTACCCAGCCCCGGTCTTAAATTTCAAATAAGTCCCCCGCGGAAACCGGACTACACAGTGTCCTGCGAGCCGTAGTCTCGGAACCGCTGGCCGAAGGACATTTATGTTTTTTGTGTAGGTAGTT